CGGTTTGGTTCGGATCGGTTTTCCTGGTTTTACGGTTCCATGTCCCAAGCCTATTTTTTACAGTACAATATTATAATGGTTGTTTGCACCTTAAAAATAAAAGTTTTTTCTAAAATATTATTAAAATATAATATATAGATAAAATGTGGCCGAAGTGATTATGAGTATACCTTTGTAGTCATTGTGATGTCAAATTTCAATATAATTATAATCATTAAAGTAAATGGAATTTTCATTTTTCATGTTCCAATTTTTTAGAAATTTACGAATTGGTGATCGGTTTTTCAGTTAAGATTCATCATTAGCCCGTGGGGCCTGCTCATCCCATTTGCTAAAGAGCCCGCCCGATACATATGGGTAATGGGCCAGCCATCCCACTATTTGAAGGGTGAGTATGGGGTAAAGTATACGAAACCAAGCCCGATCATTGACCCAACTTTTCATTACCCATCCTGGTCCAATTCATTAACCCCACCTAAACCCAGCCCAGAGTCCAACTTATAAACTACTCCGTATTTATCAAGTAATTCTACACTAAATACGTTATTAGTAATATCAAATAATAGTAGTACCCTATAGTTTTCAATACAAGATCTTGGTTGAATCCTAAGAAAAACACTAGTTTTTTTTAAAGAGTGGACACCGTTAAATTCGAATATGTGAGCTAGGAAAAACAACATTAGATCAAAAAATAAAATATATTATGTATATTATTACATCAAGACCTGATTGAATAACTAAAACTGATATGGAAGAGAATGAAATTCTGGATGATTGTTAGGTGATAAAGGTTTATGATAAACGCAAAAACTTTAGATTAGAATAATAAATGTGGTGGTATTTGTGCATATGACGAGTGCACTTGCCAAAAACTTATAAGCTATAGATAAATTTGAACTTTTATTTCAGAGAGAATTCCTTAAATAGGAGTAAAAAAGTTTTGAAATTCCAAAATAGGACTATCATGTTTTTTATTCCTTAAATAAGAGTAAATTTCTGCCAAGTTTGACATTACTAGGTTTTAAAACATGACATTTTTTTTTCAAACTTGGTAGATAACTCCTATTCAGGTTATAAAAAACATGATACTCCTATTTTGGAATTTCAAAACTTTTTTACTCCTATTTAAGGAATTCTCTTTGAAATAAAAGTTCAAAAACATGATACTCCTATTTTGAATAACATGATACTCATATGGAAGAGAATGAAGTTCTTGATGATTGTTAGGTGATAAAGGTTTATGATAAACCTAAAAATTTAGATTAGAATAATAAATGTGGTATTTGTGCATATGACGAGTGCAGTTGCCATAAACTTATAAACTATAGTTAAATTTGAACTTTTATTTTATTACTCCATAGTCAGCAATACATTTCTGGAGTGATGAGTTTTACAGACTACAATTTTATTTAAAAAGCCTAGCCCGTCCTTTAATTATTTTTAACATCAAGCCCAGCCCGATCCAGCCCAATTCCTATACCCACCAAGTTTGGGACGGTGTGGTCCAGCCAAGCCCAGCCGTATTAACAGTATTTCTTAACAAGTCGATTGACTCAGCCGTATTGCGTAGCCCAGAAAGAAAGAGGCAGGAGAGAGACGGGGAGTTTTCTCAAAGGGTTGTTGCCCCTCTCTCCTTCGCCGATGATCATCATTCCGCCATTTTTGTCCCTTACAGCCAAACAATCCTTTGAACCTTTCTTTCATCTTGAAAGAGAAGAGAGCAGAGAAAGATAGATCGATGGATATATATATATATATACACACACACATACATATATCTACAGTTATACGTTCTCTTCGACCACAATCTTCATGTGTTTCTTTCTGTTCTTAAATCTTTCTTTTCTGTTTCGCCTCATATCTATGAAAAACTCCGACCCCAACGAGGCCGTGATGATGTTTTAATCTGCTCCTCTCTTTCTGGGCTACTGATTTTGGGACATTCGGGATGACCCGACCCGTATCTTGGCGTGGCAATCCGGAGCTGTGCCCTTTGATTTGCAGCCATGGCGGTGTCGGCTTCCCGTTTGTCCCGTTGAGAAGCAGATCTGAGCCTCAATATCTAAAATACACGTAGATCTGTTTGGATTTTGGTTTTGTAGTTTTGTTATCGTGACCTATTTATTTTCTCCACTTGTTTACTCGATGAAGAGTACAAAATGATCTTAAAAAGGTTGCAGGTTTTCAAAATGGAGGCTAGAACGTCAAGTGTTAATGGGTTCTGAGAAATTATATCGTCTTTCTTGGTGTCTAGACAGCCAGAGTGGTATGAAGGCAGTAATCACACCGAGTTTCCACTTTCTATAAAATGCTAGACCTGCTAAGCACTTAAACTCTTAGAAAATGGTGCGTTTTCAATTCAAATACTCTATAAATCTCTTCTAAAATTCTTCAAACAGATGTTTTTCTGTCAAACGATGATGTTTTTTGTCTGACATTTTCATGAAACGGCTCTAGAAAGTTCATTTCTTTTTATGTGTTTCCTTGCTCTATGTGCTTGTTCTTAACATATATTACTGCCGTCTAATTCAAAGGATCTTGTCCACCACTATTCACATGTTTAATTTAAATCATTCTTAATCTTCTGTTTTAAATTTCAATTTTTTATCAAATTTATATTTTTTTATCAGCTTTTGTAGCGGTTTTTAACGTAGATTCTGAATATGTAAAATTTTATTTACTAAAAATAATTAGAGTTTGAATTAGGGGTAGGCGTAGTCCGGAACGGTCCGTTAAATTTGTAAAACCTGTAATGTATTCGTGAGGTTTTTAACAGTCCGATATGGTCCGGTTCCAAGGATAGAATCGTTCGGTATCATGTCGTTTCGGAACGGTACAAAACGTCTCGGTACAATGCCAAACGCATGTTAAAAAAATTGAATAAAACTTGCAATTAGTAGATATCATCACACCAACCAACTTGTGTGAAATGTTGATATAAATACTAGAAATGTTGATATAAATACAAGTAATCGAAGAAATTACTAATATTCACAAATACACAAATAGTGCAACACAATTAAGAAAAAGTTTAGTAAAACGATAACGCACGAGATAAATATCACCTTTAATTTACTAAGTTCATTTGAAAATATAAAAACGAATATCATCAAATTGTTGAATATGATAGAAATTTTCAACGTTCTTCTTCGTTCTAGGTTAAATATTACTTCGTAGTTCTAATTTAATTTATAGTTGAATCTTGAGAGTTAAGATTTAAAACCATACTAATTAAGTTGTAAAAATTGCACAACATGATACAACAAAAAGTCATAGACATTACAAGAAATGAATAGTCATTAATGATTTTTAAAATTTTAATATTCTTTCAATACATATCAAAGTATAACATAAATTATCTAAAATGAATAGTCATTAATGATTTCTAAATAAACACATTTCGATATCTTAGGAACACATGAATACATACTTGGGCTATAAAATTGTTGGTCTATAAAAGAGATCTATTGGTATAGAAAAAATATAAAAAATTCAAATGCATTGTTTTCGAACGATTCGGTCCGGTATTTTTCTATTCTTAAAATCTAGGACCGGTCCCGTACCTGTTTCAAACGGTTTCGGTACGGGATAAAAATCTATAGAACCGTTTAAATATCTGATATTCGGTTCGGTACCATTACGAGACGGTTCGGTATCGGTTCGGTTCGGGTTTTATGTCCACCCCTAGTTTGAACAGGGATTAAGTTGATTTATTGTAAACTATAACGGGAAGGGAGTAGTTATTCTCACTTCTCGGATATGCCCAAGAAGTTCTTTGTACCCAGCACCAAAGAGTTAAGTTACCACATGTCCACATTGAATCTCATACGAAAAATACCAATGAGATAAATTTATTGTCATAGAGTAGGAGTGGCATAAGTGATAGCACATTTTGTGCAACTTGTAGTATAGATTGATGTAAGGGAGAATTATCAAATAAGCTCTCGAACTTTCATAAAAAATGCAAATAAGCCTTTTAATAGGAGGCTTTGTCCGGCCGTTGTCATTTGGGACGGTTTTCGGTGGATTTTTTTGATCAAAATTTTTGGAGTATCTTCTTCATAAAGTTTAGTTTATTCATATCAAATTTCAGCTAAAAATTCAATGGGATTACACTCAAATGAATTTTTGAAGATAACTGCACAGTTAAACAGCGTAATATATTTCAGAAAATCATTTGACTGCCCTCTCGGTTGAATATTTAGCTGAAATTTGGTATGAGTAAACTAGACTAAATGAAGAAGATGTTCAAAAAAAATCATCAAAAAATTCAACGCGAAATCGCTCCAAATGGCGACAGCCGGACAAAGTCTCCTGTAAAAGGGCTTATTTCCACTTTGTATGACAGTTTGATGGTTTATTTGATAGTTTCCTTTCATGTAATTCAGGTTCTATCTATGTAATTCAGGTTCGATAGCTTATTTGATAGTTCTCCATTCATGTAATTCAGGTTCTATGTATGTAACTCATGCTATGTTAGTAAATAAATGCCGTTGTAAAAGATGTAATTATGTATGCACATTATGTAAGTGATAATGAAAATGTAAATATTGCATATCTGGTGTAAATGTAATGCATTAGCCTGTAAATGATATTATGAATGAATGTCATAAAAACATGTTATTGGGGAATATTATCCCGGCCCACTACTGTTCAGAGGCCTCAGTCATCACCCGGTATGAAGCCCGGTCAGCAAGGTCCATTTAGGCCTACCCGGCCCGTTTCGGCCTAACCGGACCGAATATGAATTGTTTAGGCCCAATAAGGCCTTTTCGGCCCATTAGTGTGAAAGGGCTTTTCCCTCCTTCCTATAAATAAAAGGAGGGCTTTTCTTTAAAGGGGGACCTTTTTCCTCTTCTCTCCGGGAGTGAGATCTTCTCCCCCACCCTCTTTATTCTTTTAGATTAGCACCAAGCTCCATGAATGGGGTTTGAAGATATGTATTGTGTAAAGAGTTAATTATCTATATAGGACTAAAACAAGTTTAGTGTGCACAAATAGGACCAAAAAACGAGTCTTTGTTTCATAGGACTTAAAATCACTTGTTGTACAAAAATGCCCACCATTCAGTTTTTATTTGAATTTAAAATTAAAAACGTAAAATTAAAATATCATGAAACCCTAAATTTTCACACCAAGAACGTCAGCCTGCCTCAACACAATTGCAACTTGTTGCCGTCCTCGCCACCGCCTGCTGCTTCCATCGCCGCTGGCACCACCCTCCGACCATCACCAGTGGAAACTCGACCTCCAAGCACCGCCGTCGGCGTCGTCACAAGTCTGGCTCAAAAAACTGCCAAATAGTTGACAGATTCAATCTTGGAGATTCATTTGAAATCTTCCATGAACACGGATTTTAAATCTGCCACACATTTGGCCGATTTATCTTGAGATAGTAACACAAAACTGCCATATATTTGGCAAAAACTTGAAATGAAAAAAGAATCAGAAAAGCCAGTTTACATAGAACTTTTTTGCCATATTATGAAAGTCAGTGTGCATTTCTGCCATAAACATGGCAAAATCCTATGCCATCATCCACAACCCAGAAAAAATAGAATTTTTAAATACTAAGAAATAAGAAATTTGAAATACGAAAATAGATCTTTGAAAATTGGCAAAAAATGTGTCAAAATCCTGAAAAACGGAAGAATAGAAATATGAAGGAGACGATGAACGAGAAGCAAAAGGAGAAGAAGGAGAAGCAAAAGGAGGAGGAGGAGGAGAAGAAGAAGAAGAAGAAGAAAACCAGAAAAAAACCTGAAATCCGAAGGAAAATAAAGTCGATGGTGGTGGATGGCGAAGGCGGCAAAGTGGAGGTAGCAGAGGCGACGAAGGCAGAGGCGGTGCGACGGAAGTATCGTGCGGTGGAGTTGGCAACGCGGCAGATCTACGGGGAGAAGGTGAGATGCAGTTACTCTGCTTTGGTGTATGGAGAATGAATGCTCGATCTAATAAGAGGGAGAAGGGACAAAGAATAAGTAAATGGGTGCAAGGGCAAATTTGGGATGGTAATTTTCGTATGTTTAATAATAGGAGTAACTTGGTCCTATTAATGGAAGAACATATCAAGTCCTATTTTTGCATTTCTCTCCTATTTTAGTCCTATATAAGACAATTACTTTTTTGTAAATGAGTGATGGGAGTAATTAATGAGAAAGAGCGGGCTTGGACGTTAGCCTAAAAAGTTTCGTGGTTTTCTCCCTTTCCTGGTTTCCACGTAAAAATAGCTAGTTTATACACTTTTATATATTTATTCATTTTTATACCGAATCCATGATCCCTAATATTCGAAGTTATGTTGGGCTTTCAGATCTACGGGACTAAACTCAACATTGGCGTCGTCTGTGGGAATCTTGTTCAAAAATATTCATGTGTTCTACACAAAAATTGATACAGGATGTGCTGGATTCGTGGGAAAAGAAGAAGAAAAATGGAAACTTTGGAAAGAGTCCAGCTTGATCCTTGGTCACTACCGCAAACTCAGCAGGACGTACTGGCCAGATGGCAGATCACCGAAGGAAGATGGCCAGCAAGAGAAAACCAGACCGATGCTTAACAAAAAAAACCTCCAGATGCAACACTGCTGCCATATACTCAGAAAAATGTTGAACCGCCGCGGTAGTAGGGCCAAAAAGAGTATGAACCAGCCATTAGAAGGCACAATCGGTAGAAGAAAATGATGAGTGGGTCCCGCCAGCCCACTGACTCGATGACACCGCAAATGGGTGAGATGACAGATTCTGACAGCAACACAAGTGCATGAGATGACAGATTCGCAGTTTCCCGAACCGGAACTCTCGAACGCCAGAACAAATGACTGCACCGACTTAACATAGCCGGGGCCCGAGCGGGAGTAGGAGTTTTTTTGTTACTACCAAGCGTGCTCTGTATCCAGGGTGTAGCCCGAACCAACAACGAAGACGCGGAGAAGGCTGGTCATACCCCGCTGATGGCTGGTCAACACACGTCAGAACGGTGGAGTCATCCCTCCGGCCGAAACAGCTCAACATAAGAAAAAGAGTTAATTATCAAAATAGGACTAAAAGTCATTCACTTTTCACAAATATGACCAAAAAATAAACTATGTTTGCCTGATTCTCGGTCTGGCTCGTCCATCCTTGATCTAGGATGACGACCGTCGCTCTTATGCAGCACGAACGGGCTCCACAGCACTGCCGTGCCTGATTCTCGGTCGGGCTCGTCCATCCTTGATCTAGGATGACGACCGCCGCTTTTATGCAGCACGAACGGGCTCCACAGCACCGTCGTGCCTGATTCTCGGTCTGGCTCATCCATCCTTGATCTAGGATGACGATCGCCGCTCTTATGCAGCACGAACGGGCTCCATAGTGCCGTCGTGCCTGATTCTCGGTCGGGCTCGTCCATCATTGATCTGGGATGACGACCGCCTCTTTTATGCAGCACGAATGGGCTCCACAGCACCGTCGTGCCTGATTCTCGGTCTGGCTCGTCCATCCTTGATCTAGGATGACGACTGCCGCTCTTATGCAGCACGAACGGGCTCCACAGCGTTGTCGTGCCTGATTCTCGGTCGGGCTCGTCCATCCTTGATCTGGGATGACGACCGCCGCTTTTTATGCAGCACGAACGGGCTCCACAGCACCGTCGTGCCTGATTCTCGGTAGGGCTCGTCCATCCTTGATCTATGATGACGACCGCCGCTCTTATGCAGCACGAACGGGCTCCACAGCACCGTCGTGCCTGATTCTCGGTCGGGCTCGTCCATCCTTGATCTAGGATGACGACCGCCGCTTTTATGCAGCACGAACGGGCTCCACAACACCGTCGTGCCTGATTCTCGGTCTGGCTCGTCCATCCTTGATCTAGGATGACGACCGCCGCTCTTATGCAGCACGAACGGGCTCCACAGCGCCGTCGTGCCTGATTCTCGGTCGGGCTCGTCCATCCTTGATCTGGGATGACGACCGCCGCTTTTATGCAGCACGAATGGGCTCCACAGCACCATCGTGCCTGATTCTCGGTCTGGCTCGTCCATCCTTGATCTAGGATGACGACCGCCGCTCTTATGCAGCACGAACGGGCTCCACAGCGCCGTCGTGCCTGATTCTCGGTCGGGCTCGTCCATCCTTGATCTGGGATGACGACCGCCGCTTTTTTATGCAGCACGAACGGGCTCCACAACACCGTTGTGCCTGACTCACGTTCGGGCTCGTCCATCCTTGATCTAGGATGACGACCGCCGCTTTTATGCAGCACGAACGGGCTCCACAGCACCGTCGTGCCTGATTCTCGGTCTGGATCGTCCATCCTTGATCTAGGATGACGATCGCCGCTCTTATGCAGCACGAACGGGCTCCACAGCGCCGTCATGCCTGATTCTCGGTCGGGCTCGTCCATCCTTGATCTGGGATGACGACCACCGCTTTTATGCAGCACGAATGGGCTCCACAACACCGTCTTGCCTGATTCTCGGTCTGGCTCGTCCATCCTTGATCTAGGATGACGACCGTCGCTCTTATGCAGCACGAACGGGCTCCACAGCACTGCCGTGCCTGATTCTCGGTCGGGCTCGTCCATCCTTGATCTAGGATGACGACCGCCGCTTTTATGCAGCACGAACGGGCTCCACAGCACCGTCGTGCCTGATTCTCGGTCTGGCTCATCCATCCTTGATCTAGGATGACGATCGCCGCTCTTATGCAGCACGAACGGGCTCCATAGTGCCGTCGTGCCTGATTCTCGGTCGGGCTCGTCCATCATTGATCTGGGATGACGACCGCCTCTTTTATGCAGCACGAATGGGCTCCACAGCACCGTCGTGCCTGATTCTCGGTCTGGCTCGTCCATCCTTGATCTAGGATGACGACTGCCGCTCTTATGCAGCACGAACGGGCTCCACAGCGTTGTCGTGCCTGATTCTCGGTCGGGCTCGTCCATCCTTGATCTGGGATGACGACCGCCGCTTTTTATGCAGCACGAACGGGCTCCACAGCACCGTCGTGCCTGATTCTCGGTAGGGCTCGTCCATCCTTGATCTAGGATGACGACCGCCGCTCTTATGCAGCACGAACGGGCTCCACAGCACCGTCGTGCCTGATTCTCGGTCGGGCTCGTCCATCCTTGATCTAGGATGACGACCGCCGCTTTTATGCAGCACGAACGGGCTCCACAACACCGTCGTGCCTGATTCTCGGTCTGGCTCGTCCATCCTTGATCTAGGATGACGACCGCCGCTCTTATGCAGCACGAACGGGCTCCACAGCGCCGTCGTGCCTGATTCTCGGTCGGGCTCGTCCATCCTTGATCTGGGATGACGACCGCCGCTTTTATGCAGCACGAATGGGCTCCACAGCACCATCGTGCCTGATTCTCGGTCTGACTCGTCCATCCTTGATCTAGGATGACGACCGCCGCTCTTATGCAGCACGAACGGGCTCCACAGCGCCGTCGTGCCTGATTCTCGGTCGGGCTCGTCCATCCTTGATCTGGGATGACGACCGCCGCTTTTTTATGCAGCACGAACGGGCTCCACAACACCGTTGTGCCTGACTCACGGTCGGGCTCGTCCATCCTTGATCTAGGATGACGACCGCCGTTTTTTATGCAGCACGAGTGGTTGGCTCTACAGCGCCGTCGTGCCTAGTACGGGATTGCACCTCATTTATGGATTATGCATGTCTTGCGCCCAAAATTATTCAAAGACTGATTCAGGGATGGCAGGAAAGGACGTGAGCAAGAGTATACTTTCTCGAGTAGATTTGCAGGCTCACTACTCAAGAAACTGAGGGACTTGTGTTGGGGAATATTATCCCGGCCCACTACTGTTCAGAGGCCCTAGTCATCACCCGGTATGAAGCCCGATCAGCAAGGCCCATTTAGACCTACCCGGCCCGTTTCGGCCTAACCGGTCCGAATACGAATTGTTTAGGCCCAATAAGGCCTTTTCGGCCCATTAGTGTGGGAGGGCTTTTCCCTCCTTCCTATAAATAGGAGGAGGGCTTTTCTTTAAAGGGGGACCTTTTTCCTCTTCTCTCCGGGAGTGAGATCTTCTCCCCCACCCTCTTTATTCTTTTAGATCAGCACCAAGCTCCATGAATGGGGTCTGAAGATATGTATTTTGTAAATGAGTGATGAGAGTAATTAATGAGAAAGAGCGGGCTTGGACGTTAGCCTAAAAAGTCTCGTGGTTTTCTCCCTTTCCGGGTTTCCACGTAAAAATAGCTAGTTTATACACTTTTATATATTTATTCATTTTTATACCGAATCCATGATCCCTAATATCCGAAGTTATGTTGGGCTTTCGGATCTACGGGACTAAAACTCAACACATGTGATTAATTTGCAGTATCATTTATTCATAGAAAAAAAGCTAAATGTTTGGTGTAATTAACTTTATAAATAGATAAATTATCCATGACTGAAAACTATCAATTTAAATTTATCAATATAAGACTTGAATGACGGAAAACTATCAATTTAGGATTTGAAGTGTTATAATTTGCTTATTAAATAAAAAGTGAGTTTCTATGATTGTTGTTAAATTAATAAATTAAAAATATAGTAAAAATTATTCCAAACTATACAAACATTATCAAATTTAATATGAAACTATGACCGGGCAAAAAAGAAAAGATTAAACAAAATTAACGGGACCAAAGTAGTATTAAAAAACCGCAGACACTTCTTCACTAATCATCTAAGTTCATTAGTTTATTAAAACCAAGTAGTATTTAAAAATTTTAAAATAAAAATAATAATAAAATTCAAGACAACTTATTTCCTACGTTGAAAAAGTTTGGTAAATGATAACTGTGATGTTATAAATGTTTTATTTTTAGTATTTAATGACTAATTTGGCACTTAAGATTGTCAATTGTTTCCTAAAATGAAAATGAGATTCTTTATATGGTACGTCAAAAAAAGGAAAGTGAGAACCTTCTAATTGAACGGAGGGAGTAATAAAAATAGTTATAGATTTACACTTTTTAGGTTGACGTTATGTCGTTATTGATGGTTTTGGATATGAAACTTTTATTTCCTAGTATATTTTGATTCGTTCTCATTTTTACTAGTGTTATCATATACGCGTGTTTGTAACTTTCAAAAAAAGATAAAAATATACGTGTTTGTATTTTGAATAAAATGAGAAAATAAATTCTCAAACTCATAACTAAGAAAAGAAGAGCATTTCATCATGGAGGCAAAAATGAAAAAAGAAATCAAGAAAAGATGGCAAGATTCAAACCCGTCAGAAATGAACACAAGACAATCATGAACCATTCAAGCAACCAAAACAATGTATACAATATTCGAAAAAAGCTATTCCTCATTTGTTCATTCTCACCTCGAAGTCATCAAGTAAACTTAAGTCATCATTAATCACTTTTATCTTCGAGAATAAGTATAATACTTCCTCCGTCTCTTTTTAGTTGCAACAGTCAACATTTCGCGTTTGCCAACGCACAACTTTGACCGTCATTTAATTTAATTCTGTATTAGTAAAAATAAAATAAAAATCAGATTATAAAACTTAGTAATGAGACGAATTTAACAATATTTTAAAAAAAAATATAATTCACATACATTAATAAATAAACTGTAGTCAAAGTTAAGTACATGAATAGTGTATATATTCCAATGTTGCAATTAATGTGATACGGAGGATAGTATTGTTCAAAAAATGCCATTCATCACAAGTTTGATCTTCCTAATCTCTTTAAATCTTGTTGCTTTGGTTATGCATTAATATCTTTTATATCAAAACTTGGATAACTACATAACGTTGAGGTTAGAAATTGGTTAGTTAATTGTTCTTATCATATTTTAATTTGTAATGACTTTGAATTGTTAAGTTTGTTCTATTTGGATAAATTGGTGAGTTGAAAAATATAAATAGATTGTGTTAGTGATATATATGAATAATCAATCATAAGCAAAATGTTTGTTTAAAACCCAAATAAACACTTGTTAAGCAAATTATAAGACTTCTTTTACTTTGTTCTGGCATGAAATTTATCGTGACAATGTAATTATATTAGT